CCACAGGATCCGAAGTACCTATATAGGGCATGCGGCATATTGACCTAAATCCTATTATCAATTCCTAGTATAGATCGCTACGTTGTACCAATACTTCGGATCTTTCGGGGAATACCCGCATACTGGAGGCCTGGAATCTTGGTTTTTGATCTTGGTTTAGCCCATGCAATCCCTGCATGAGCTTCAGCTGAATTTGACACCGGAATCCTGGAATCATATGGAATTCATGTTTTTGATCTGGTTCTGGTCCACGTAAAAGCCTGATTTTGTTTGAACGAATACGAAGTGCTGGAATCCTGGATTATTTCTTTTAATGCGACTTCAGTCCATATACAACCAATATTAGGCTGATTCAGCAAAATACTGGAATCCTGGAATGCATCATGGAATTCTTGTTGTCCATCTGGTTCAGGTGCAGACAAAACCCCGTATTAAAGCTAGTGAGAACAAGTACAGAAATCCTTTGTTTCAACCTGCGGAGGTCGGAAGAATTTGCGGCATCCCAAACATCCTGCCAAAGATATCAGCCCCCGTCTAAGATCACGGCGCAACAAACGCCAGAGGAGGTGAAAAGTGCTTGAGGAAAGACAACTGTCATAATACATATACGTCAAAAACAAGTACACAACCGGTCAAAACGTTTTTGCTGCCTTCCATCCTTCCGAACATTCTCATGTTCCCAAACGCGCAAAAACAAAAAAACAACTTGAACATCCAGGGACCCTGGACCTTCCTTGTACCCTTAATTGGGGATATATGGTCCCTAATAGTGGGTACTTAGGCCCTCATAGAGGGTAGGAGGAGGGTCTAGGACTAGAGAAGGAGTTAGGCCCTGGATCTCCTCAAGGAGAGGAATTTCTACAGATGGGAGTTTAACGTGGTACTGTTTCGTGGCCCTCATCGTTCAGCAAACACTGTAATGCGCAAAAAAAATCCATACCCTGAACCTCTCCAAAGACTGTAAGCTCATGGGCTTGGGGTTTATTCCGCAAATTGCACAAGTCCCTGGACTATGGAAGCAGCCAAGCGCTAGACTCCATCATTTCTGGAACTTGTTGAGCATTAGCCTTTAGGAGGACCCCCCACCCTGTAATAGTGGTATAGTAAGAATATAAGAGGACCCTAATATAATTACAATTATCCCTTATGGTCACTATTACTGGGTGGGGGGTCCACCCAAATTAGCCTGTTTTATGGCCTTCACCCACACCAAACCAGTGTAATGCCTCAAACATTCCAACAGCTCCAAAAAACGGGATATGTACAGTGTTGCGTTTTCAAATATCATAGAATTTCGAAATTTTGTAATCCTTGAAGCAATTCAATTTTTGGTGAGGTTCACAAGGCTTTGACTCTTTTAGCATTACAATGCTGCGTGGCTCTCACCCTCACCAGACACTGCAATGTCCCGAAAAATGCAAAGTATTCATCATGTTTTTTGTGTTTCTGGATTTGCTGCTCATAGCTTTCCGAACTTTCTGCATTCTTCAGCATTACATTGTTTCGTGACCCCCCCCTCACCCCATGAACTACATAAAGGTCGGTTGCCGTGGGACGTGCATATACATACATATATACGTACTTACTTATTTATGCCGCTCTCTTTCCCTCATGGTAAAAAATTCTTGTTCCGGACCCCTCAAACAATACCAGATCCTGAATAATTCCCCGAAATGATTTGATTAAGCCGCGTCCCTTGTGTAAACAGGGTTCAACATTACTGATGTGCAACAGTACGCTCATATTTCCCACCACCAACCCCCCGCCCATACCATAACCTCGACACCAAATTAACTGCAAACCGACACAGACAAACCACCAGCAGCTTCCAAAAGAATCCTACCTGGCGAACGAACCTTCAGCCCAAAACTCCTAAACCCTGCATGGCGCTATCCGCAAGGTCGTGAACCCCACACAAAAGCCCACCCTGGCCTCCCGTGGTGGCACACTAGCATCTGCAAAGCAGCCTGCACTCCTCGAAGGGTTTGACAGCTTGGAGAAAAGGGATACATGTAACTCCAACATGCGTTGAATCCCCCTGCATCTCCGTTTGTTTTCAAGATGTGGAAGGCACAATTCTCCCGTCCACCTATAACGTTGCTGCTATCGCATAACCCTATTGTGCTTTCATGCTTGTACGACGCAATCCCTACGTATATGCCCCTACATAAAAGCACAATCAGTTCATGTCCATCTCAAATTCGATTATTGTATTGTACCAACACTTTTCTACTACTCAAACTCTAACAATAAAATTCATGTCCTTTTCGACTCATCCATGTGATTCTTGCCGACTCTACAGCAGAGAAAGAAATCTATAAACATTGCCTGCTTTGTGCCCTAGGGCCTTCAAATAATGTAGACTTTGGGCCCTTGGAATCTCAGTTTTACCATGACCCCAACTGTCCTACCTTTTGGCATATATCCTGAAAAAAATCCCAAGGCAGGATCGAAGAAACAAAGGACACGCAAGGTCCCAGTCGGGCTGATTAACTCGCTCGTGGGTATTTCCCTAGGGATCCAAGTATACAAATAATACCTACATTGGGCCCTAAAGTCTGTAAATATTACCTACATTGGGCTATCTGGATCCCTAGGGTTTGAAACAACCCCACCCTGATTGAAAAATATTCCCCATAACAGACCTTATACATTGGGGGCCATGTTTCGTATGAGGAGTGAGGCGCTGAGTGATATCGTAGGCCCTGAACCCCATAAATTTCCGAATAGTAGTTTTCGGACGATTAAACCTGAACCTTAAACCCTGTTTTTTTTGTATAAAGCAGACAGAGGTACGAGGAATGTCTTAGAAGCGTGAATATGTCCAGGTAGCAATAAGGCATGGAAGGGTTGAGGGTTTAGGGGTTTAGGGTGGGGGTTAATGTAAGCCTCCCAAATACCTATGGACAACAAATCTCAAAAAACCAAAATCACGAGTATTTAGGCGAGCATTATGGGTGTTTCGGAGGTGTAGGTAAGGTCTAAAGTTCAGCTGATTTGTTGCTTATTGTTTCCAGAGAGCAAGGGTGCGGTCTCAAACCTCGGTAAGTACATTACGAATCATGAATGCTATCCCTAAACCCTAAACTATCTACTATGAGACTACGTGTTTATGAGGGGGGGGGTCCCCTACTTAGCTTCGCGCTGTACGATTCGGACTTACAAGAGCTTAGCTGTGAAGCTGGATACAAAATGGATACGTGCCCAAGTATCAACCTCCTTTGCAAAACCTGTGCATATATGGATTCTGTTAGCTTGTTTATCGGCATGCGGGATAAAAGCACAAAGCAGCTCAACTGCAGTTGGACTCAGCAGTGTGAAATTTACGGAAAACTATCTTCGCTTTTTGAGCAGGCTCTAATGCTAAGCTGTGAACACCAATCCTGGGTCACTAAGCTCGACCCCAAGCCCAACACTTTTGACGGATAGTCCCAACCCCCCAACCCTAAACCGGCTAAGC